AAGGAAGGGGGGGGGGGGGGGGGGGGGGCAGGAAGAAGAAAAACCACCTTGACCCTCTTTAATGTTGTATACATAGGTTACAACCATCCTTCCCTCAAATGCGGATACAGATAGAAGAGTTAGTGTCAGACATTTTTCTGATGTTTGCATTCCCCACATCATGTTTGGCCTCATAAAAAAGCCTCTGGTGACCTTGTTTCTGAGTCACTTTATAGGCTGTTGTTCATTTTAAATTTTTGTTTAACTTATTTATACCGCTATGTTCATGTTCCTTTTCAATTTTATAGCTATTTAATTTTACTTTTCATGATTTACACTCATTTCTTCTAGGAACTGGAGTTGTTTAGTGGGTCTCATAGTACTACTCACAGAAGCTAATGACTTTGCAGGGAGCAACTGATGAATTTGTGTTAGATCTTGTGGAACAATGTTCATTTCAAAAGCAGCGTGTCATGCATCTTGTAATGACCTCCCGGTAATGTGTTTTTCTACTTATGTGTAATTGTGTAAAATTGAGTTCTTTCCTTGGAAGAAAATTTCTCAGTTTCTCTGAAGATAGACATAACTGGGAATATAATGATTGTGCTTGTGTGATATTTGCTTTTGTAGCCATATAGTTGGTGTATGACAGATATATTTCATGCATCAGAAACCTTGACTTGTTACTCAATGTTACTTCTGAATGGAGTGTCTTCTTATAGCAAGTACTATTGCCACTCAGACTGATCTTCATGTTGGGGATTCGAAACAATTAATCAATCGAACCCGTGCACTTCAGGACCTTGTGCTAAGAGTTTAGCAAGTAGGAAAATCACCGCAAATAAAAAAATTACAGGAAAGATAAACAAGAAAGAACACATCAGATTTAACGAGGTTCGGCAACGTGCCTACGTCCTTACCACACCACTGAATCCTCTCAAAACCCTCTTTTTCACGTGTTCACATAACCCTAAAATCATTTATATCTTCGGGAGCCACACCACACAATTCTTTAATTAATTTGAAGATGATTACAATGCCCACAAATAGGTTTTTATCTCTCTGAGATCTCTCTGAAAGAATCATATGAAAACCCCTCTTTTTCACGTGTTCACATAACCCTAAAATCGTTTAGGTATATATATAGGATCCGAGCCCAAAACAGTTTCCCAAACAGTTTAGGAAACTGTAAATCCCGTTTCCGATCGACCGGGCCATGTTCTCCGATCGACCGACCAGAATCTCAATTTCTGTAGGGTTTTGGTGCATGTTTTCGGTCGACTTGATCAAGGCCCTCGGTCGACCGACCAGAGCTTTGATTTCTGCCTGTTTTCCTACAGGCGTCGCGGTCGATCGGACCAGGTCCGTCGGTCGATCAACCCACATTTTTCCTGTGTTCTTTGATTGTTTGATTTCAGGTTTGGGTCTCCACATCCGAGACCAACAATCTCCCACTTGGAGATCAAACTGTCATCAACGAGCTCGTCCGAACTCTTTCCATCTTCGCAAGTATCTTTTCCTCCCCTGATAAATCCATTCTTCAATCATCATCATCTTGCCGATCCCGCCTATGCTCCTAGTGTGGCTCTGTCTTCGACTCCTAAGCGTAAAGGCCAACTGAAGTTACGCACAACTCTAGTTTCTCGATGGTCACTGTTTTCGTCAACATATTCGCAGGATTTTTGCTCTCCAAAATCTTCTCTAATCGTAACTTGTCCTCAATCTGCGAGCGTATGAAGTGGTAACGTACGTCGATGTGCTTCGTTCTTACATGATATATTAAATTCTTGGTAAGGTGTATAGCACTCTGGCTATCACAATAAAGAATGTCGTTCCCCTACTTCAAACCCAACTCTTTCAGGCATCGGTCAACCAAATCTTCTTGTTGGCTTCAGTCACTGCGACATACTCTGCCTTAGTCGTGGACAATATTACTATCTTCGGCAGACGTGAGACTCAGCTCACTGCTGTCGACGCCAAGGTATAGGTGCTTCGCCTCGTATCATGATCACCGACGAAATTTGTATCCACGTATCCCCCAAGTATCTAACTCCCTCCTGAAATATAATGGCATATCCGTAGTCCCTCTCAAGTAACGCAATATCCACTTCACGACCTCATAATGCTGTTTTCCTGAATTGCTTGCGAACCTGCTCACAACTCCTACTACATGGGCGATATCCGAACTCGTGCAAACCATCGCGTACATAAGACTATCAATAGCTGATGAATATGACACTACTCATATGCTCCTCTGCATCTGTCTTGGGTGATTGCTCCTCAGATAACTTGAACTGTTTCAAAGGGCGTGCCGACGGGTTTAGCATTCTTCATGTTGAATCTCTGAAGTATCTTCTCGATGTATTCAGCTTGACTCAATTTTAACTTTCCTTCAGCTTCATCTCTACTGATTCGCATCCCAAGAATTTGCTTCGCTACACCCAGATCCTTCATAGCAAACTTCTTCGCTAACTCTTCTTCAAATTGTTCATCTCTTCTAAACACGGTCCTGTAACTAATATGTCATCAACATACAATAATAACATGATATAGTTAGACTCGAATCTCTTGAAGTAGCAACAATGATCTGAATTGTATCTTTCATAGCCATGGCTCTGCATGAAGTTATCGAACTTCTTGTACCATTGTCTCGGAGCCTGTTTCAATCTGTACAAGCTCTTCTTGAGCTTACACACCATTCTTTCTTTTTTTTCTATAAAGCCAACAGGTTGTTTCATGTAGATTTTTTTATCCAAGTCACCATGAAGATATGCAGTCTTCACATCTAACTGTTCAAGGTAAAGAACTTTTACAGCTACTAATCTCTACACCACTCTAATGGTTGTAAGCTTCACAACGAGAAAAAATATCTCCGTATAATCCACTCCTTCTCGCTGTTGGAACCCCTTCACGACTAATCTGACATTGTTCCTCTTGCTTCCATCACTCTCCTGCTTGACTTGGTAGATTTATTTGTTATGTAGGGCTTTCTTCTGTACAGGTAGCTGGGCTAACTCTCATGTCTCATTAGTGTGTAGAGAATCCATCTCTTCTTACATCGCATGCTCCCACTGCTGAGATTCACTCACTTGCATAGTCTCCTCATAGCATTCTGGTTTATCACTATCTGTCAAAAGTAAATGATCAAGTGATGAGAGATATCTGGGATTTGGTTTGGACATCCTTGATGATCTCCTAAGCTTCACGTCTTGGGTAGTCGTCTCTGCACCTGGAGTCTCTTCCGTTCTTCGGTCAGAACTAACGTTGTCTCCACTATCTGGAAGTTCCTCCAAATCTATGTATTCGGATCCACCTGCATCCGTAGTGTTTCCCCTACTGCTTTGGTTATCCTTGGCATTATCCCTGTCTTTGTACATCACCTCATTGAATATGACGTCTTTGCTCCTGATGATCTTCCTGTTTTTCTTATCCCAGACGATATCCGAACTCATTAATATCGTATTCAATGAATGTACATTTCTGTGACTTAGCTTCTAGCTTGTCCCTGACATGGTCACTGATATGAACATATGTCATGCAACCAAATACTCGTAAGTATGAGAGATTAACCTTCTTGTCACTCCAAACCTCTTTTGGAATCCCAAAATACAATGAAACTGATGGCCTATGATTAATCAGATAAGCTGTCGTATTTACCGCGTCTGTCCAAAACGTCTTAGGTAGATCTGCATGTAAAAATGCATGCTCGCATACTTCGTCAATGTCATGTTCATCATCTCTACAACGTTGTTTTGTTACGGCGTCTCTGGAGTACTCTCCAAATTTTGAGTACAGAACCTCTTGAACTCTTCCAGTTCGTATTCTCCATCGTTGTTTGATATCAGACACTTCACCTTCAGATCTGTCTCGTTCTTCATCATGGCTTTTCACTTTTTGAAGATCCCGAACACCTCTGACTTGTGTTTCATGAAGTATACTCACACCTTCCTCGAGTGATCGTCGATAAAGGTGACATAGTACGTCGAACCGTCAAGAGAAGACACACTAGCTAGATCTCATACATTTGTATGAACAAACTTTAGTTTCTGAGCTTCAGGTGGCCTTTCACCCTTCTGAAAACTGATCCTCTTTTGCTTCCCGTAGATGCAGTCCTCGCAAACACCTTCTACTGAATCGATGTCGGTTAGCTTTTCCTGTGAGTGTAAAATCTTTATTCCCTTCTCACTCATGTGTCCCAGTCTATTGTGCCACAAATCTGTTCTCCTTGCCAGCTGTAATTGCGACGGTGTCTCGCATGTGCAGTTAGGTAGAGTGTTCCGGTTTTATTGTCTCGGGCAACCACCATAGTACCGTTGGAGATATTCCACGAATTCCCGATGAATGTTGAAACATAGCCTTCCGTTCCAAGTTGGCTTACCGAAACAAGATTCTCTTTAGCTTCGGTACGTGTTTGACGTTCTTCTGATTCCACTTGGAGCCCTCCATTTGAATCTGCACGTTGCCTCTTCCAACAATACTATAAGACTCGTTATCCCCCAAGTACACTTTCCCAAAGTCCCTGCTACGTAGTTCTGAAAAAGTTTCCTATTAGCATTGGCGTGGAGTGAGGCTCCTGAGTCAATAATCCAAGAATCAGAATCGCTGTCCATAGCAAGGATCAATGCATCTTACACGATGTGAGCCTACTGCTCGCTCGCATCCTTCTTTGACGCTTTGTAGACTGAAGACATATGGCCCTCCTGGCCGCAGTTCCTACACTTCCTTTTGATAGGCCAAACCTTCGAGTTCGATCTCTTTTTCTTCGATTTCAACCGATTTCTATTCTGGTTACCCTTCTTCTGGCTTCGGCCTCTCTGCTCGAGATTTAGGGTTGAACCTGAACCTTCTGATTCGGACGATTTTCTTCTAACCTCTTCGAATAGAATCATGCTAACAACCTCGCTCAACTTCAACTTCTTTCCCGTCAAGTTGCTAATTGCGGTCACGCAATCTGCCCAACTATCTGACAACTGTGATAGAATTAATAGAACCTGTACTTCATCATCAAACGTGATGTTCACGGAGATAAGTTGATCAACAATCGTGTTGAACTCACTAAGGTGCATCGTGAAGAAGCATTCTTCTGTCATCTTGAGGTTGGAGAGCGTTTTGATTCACGAACATCCTTCTGTCATATTGAGGTTGAAGAGCGTTTTCACGAGATGCACCTTGTTTGCGGCCGACAATTGTTTGTACATCTTTGCGAGCGCTTATATAATCCCCACCGTCGTCTTCTTCTTCAATATATTATGGGTGATCGATTTAGCGAGCGACAACCGGATTTGCCCTAAAGCCTTCCTATCCAGTATTTCCCAATCTTCGTCTGATTCCTTCTTCTTTCCCTTAGCCTTGCCCATCAACAAACTATAAAGGTTCTTCTGGTACAAATAGTTCTCCATCTGCGACTTTCAGTAGGCGAAGTTTGATCCGTCAAATTTCTCGATCTTTGATTTGCTTTCCTCTGCCATGGCTCTCGCATAAATCTGCTGAACGAAGCTCTGATATCAGTTGTTAGGAATTGAAACAATCAATCAATCGAACTTGTGCCCTTCCGGACCTTATGCTAATAGTTTAGCAAGTAGGAAAATCACAGCAAATAAAAGAAAAATTGCAGGAAAGATAACAAGAAAGAACACATCAGATTTAACAAGGTTCGGCATCGTGCCTACGTCTTCGGGAGCCACACCACACAATTCTTTAATTAATTTGAAGATGATTACAATGCCCACAAATAGGTTTTTATCTCTCTGAGATCTCTCTGAAAGAATCATATGAAAACCCCTCTTTTTCACGTGTTCACATAACCCTAAAATCGTTTAGGTATATATATAGGATCCGAGCCCAAAACAGTTTCCCAAACAGTTTAGGAAACTGTAAATCCCGTTTCCGATCGACCGGGCCATGTTCTCCGATCGACCGACCAGAATCTCAATTTCTGTAGGGTTTTGGTGCATGTTTTCGGTCGATCGGATCAAGGCCCTCGGTCGACCGACCAGAGCTTTGATTTATGCATGTTTTCCTACCGGCATCGCGGTCGACTGGACTAGGTCCGTAGGTTGTCCGATCCACGTTTTTCCTGTTTTCTTCGATTGTTTGATTTCATGTTTGGATCTCCACACCCGAGACCAACACTTCATTGCATCTGGACTAGTAGACCTTGATCATTTGCGATGTAACCAATCATTCTTGAATTTCTTTGGCATTACGTATCTATTTTCTTTGCAAATCTTCTGTACATTGTTATCTTATTTCTGTTTGCTGCTGAATATCATGTTGCAACTTACTGTGTAACTGGAGCCTAACCCATATCTAAGGTGCAGACTATAACGGCTAGGGTATTGTGTTAATCATCTTGCAACCTTGCCCTCTGCCGTTTGATCATTCTGGTGTCTAATAATTGCTCTTTGTTTACTCTTTTAACCTAGTTTGTAAACATCTATGAGAAGGGCTGTAATGTAGCGAGTATTTTGGGTTGGCACATATAAGAACCAGAGTTATACGCTGAAGTTATGTTATACCATTCAAAGAAATTTGAACTTTAATAAACATCTCTATCAATTTTCATTGAAGACAGACCAGTCTTTTATATAGAATCATCTGCTTCTTGAATACTATGACCATCCTCAAGATAACGGATATGCACAACCATGAGAGATTTGAACCTTTGAGGATTAGCAATCTGCGGTTACAGTCGAGGCCATTATATCTTGATATTATTATTTTTATTTTGTGATGCCATACAGCACTTATAAGACTGTTCTATTGTGAATTATTAACTACCAAGTACTAATATGCTTGGTTATTTTTGATCTTTTACAAAGATATTTGAGTTATTGGGTTGGGCTGGTTCCCTCCCTGTAAGCGTTATGGCTGTGTGGCAGTAATGGTTGGAATAGCAGTTGGTTAAAAATTATGAATCTATGAGGTTGTCATTTTAAATCTCGATATTGGACTCTGATTATGTAGGGATGAGAAGATGGTTACTCAAGCAATCGAACTTAACGAGCAGCTTCACAAGGTTCTCACACAACATGATGCTTTTCTTTCTGTTTCTACCGGTTCAACTACACCTTCACTTGCCCACCATGAACAAGAAGAGGAAGAGGACGCAGAGCGTCTTTACCGGAGGTATGCTTTTTGAATCTTTATGATCTATCCAAATATTTACTGCCAAATAATAAAATGTTGTGTGTGTAATACATGTTCATGATCAAGTGACTATCATCGGAAAGAATTCAACTACAATTGATAAATGATAATATCCCACTTAAAAATGCTTATTTTTATTTATAGTCAAAAGCTATGCAGTTAAGACAAGCCAGAGATGGTGTGATGTTTCTTTGGTACCATGTCAGCGGTCGGAAACAAAAAAAAAGGTATAGTTAACAATAAGAGTTTTAAACAGTTAAAGTACAAACTGTGATCATTTCATGTAGTTCAAAAGCTACTGAAGTTAACAGAAACCGAAAAGCTATGATCAATATGACATCATCCTGCCAACATGGACGAAGCAGAAGTTATCGAGTAAACAGTAATTAAAAATGGATTAATTAAATATTTTCCGAGTAGTTCAAATATCTCAAACCTAGACTGAGGCTTAACACTGTACCACTTTTTGTACTTTTTCTTTCTCAAGGTTCTCATATTATGAGTTATGACTTTTTAGAAGTTAATTTTCCCCTTGTATTGTCCTAAAGTCTTCTGTTAAGCACATAGTTTTTTTTGGTGATCATTCTGGACTTGGAGTATTAGAAATATTTTCTACAAGTTTATTCTTATCTTGTGTTTTTAACCCGTGGCAACCACGTCTATGGTCAGGTGGTTTGAAATATCAATGATTGCAGGATAATGCAGTTATAATGAATCGGAATTGACTATCGTTGCAGGATATGTAAGGGCAAAGCTTGTGCTGAAGATAACTCCAATGGTTCCCTAGGTTCATTCAGATCAATCCCTGAGGAAAAGATGCGACGACCACTAATTCGGCCACTCTGCATACAACCGTCAGATCCTGACAGCAAACCCCCACACCCAGCGGTATCAATTCCTCCTCCACCAGCCAAACACATGGAGAGAGAGAAATTCTTCAGGGATAAAAGTACAGATAGCTCAGGCATGGCTGTCCATTTGAGAGGTTTATCACTAGACAGTCGCAACGGTAGCAGCTCTCATGGCGGTAGCACAGATTTTAGCGATCGAGACTTCAATGGCTTTCGTGATTGATTCTCTAACAAAATCTTGGAATGGTGTTTATCTTGGCATTTCTAACTCCTGCAGGCATTCTCTGGCTTCAGACTGATTTATTATATGCAAGGTTGATAGTTCTGCAAGGTCCTGCGTAATTTTATGGGTCACAGTTTAAATTAAGGGGAGTGATATTTATAGAGGAAAAGAAAAAGAATTTGTCTGGGTTAAATGTGCTTTCAATTGATTGTTGTTTTAAAGAGCCCTTGCTTCAAGTTCCAGATAGTTTTCTCTTGTAAAATTTGATAGAATAATATGTTCTATTTGTAAAGGAATCTCAGGTTGGTAAGAACAGATGTTACATGGTGAAAAATTCGGCAGGTTTCGGTGGTGCCAATAATAGGAGATTGAATTGGATGGTCGTGTGTTTATTATTGCGGAGGAGATTGATTTATGGTCTGATGCAGTTATAGAAGCAATATTATTACTGATTTAATGTTTCTTCTCGGTTATAGCAAGTTTGTTGTGAAAATTTACAGTTGTACGTATGGCGTATTGATGAGAGACTGTTGTCTTTTCCTTGTCTGTAAAATTTCTCCTTTCATAAATAAAAAGTTTTTCTGTTCAGAGTGCTATGTTGTTCTTCTTCATTTTTTGTGTCTATAATCACAGTGAAATGCTTTTATGTCGTGAGAAGTATAGAGTGTGAACCAACCGAGTTCTACCTATTTTGATAGGGATTTGAGGGATTCTAGTTTATGCGAAATAATCTATGGAAAGGGATTGTTTCTCAGAAACAGGCATGGTGAAATTCACAACTCAGGGAAATCCATAACTGATCTGTAGAGTCTATCTTCTGTGAAAGAGTTTGCAAATCATCAATATTTTTTCTTTTATAATCTTGTAGTGGAATATTCAGCTGATGTAGGGGGCTTATTCGAACCACGTAATAACTCAGATGTATCTGCGTTTGCTTTCTTTCCAGTGATTTGATTTCTTTGTTTTGATATTGATATTTGTGTGGCATGCACCGCGTTTCCGCAACAAATATGACTGCGGATGTTCAACTGAATTATTCATTTCAGTTTTCTCTATTTCTCAGGGTAGGAAATAAGAGGGTAGCTACACGCGAGAAATGTGCTCAGTTGAGTACTTATTTCAATCTTTTCTGTCATTTTGAAATTGAAATAGGAGTGTAAATATTGGGTGTCACAAAGAGCATTTTGTTTTACACCTTTCTGATGTTGCGTGTTTCGTAAATATGCAGCTCTCCTCTTTTTCCTTCGAAGGGCTAATATGAAGCATGTGAATTGTTGGGGATTCGAAATAATCAAATCAAATCCGTACCCTTCCGGACCTTGTGTTTGAGTGTTGAGCAAGAAGGAAATTCACCACAAATCAAAGATAAAAACTTATAGGAAAGTAAACAAGAAAGAACACACCAGATTTAACGAGGTTCGACAACGTGTCTACGTCCTCGGGAGCCACACCACACAATTCTTTGATTACTTGAAGAAGATTACAATGCTTGCAATTGGCCTCTCTCTCTCTCTCTAAGATTTCTAACATCAAAGAGCCCTCAAAACCCTTTTTTTCGTGCTCTTTTTCTCTCTTAAACCCTAAAGGGACGTGTTTCTATTTATAACAAAACACAATCCCAAACAGATTAGGATTCTAAAATGAGTCTGCCACACCCTGGTGTGGCGCAGACCACACTCATGGCAAACAAGGCAGACTCTGTCACATCCTGGTGTGGTGCAGACCACACCCATGGCAGACAAGGCAGATTCTGCCACACCCTGGTGTGGTGCAGACCACACCCATGGTCTGTCTTGAATTTTCATGCTATTGTTGATTTTGATTCTAGGTTTGGGTCTCCACTTTCAAGACCAACAATCTCCCACTTGGAGATCAAACCACCATCAATGAGCTCTCCCGAACTCCGCCTTCTCGCAAGCATCTTCTCCTACTTGAAAAAAATTCATTCTTCAATCATTAACATCCCGGCGATCTCACCGATCCTCGTAGTGTGGCTCCGCCTTCATCTTCTACTCGTGAAGGCCAACTGAAGTTGCGTACAACTTCAGTTTCTCAATGGTGACTGTCTTTGTTAACATGTCCGTCGGATTTTGACTCCCCAAAATCTTTATCAAATGCAACTTTCCGTCTTCAACTAGCGAGCGTATAAAATGATATTTGACGTCGATGTGCTTCGTTCTGGCATGATATACTGGATTCTTAGCAAGATGTATAGCGCTCTGGCTATCACAATAAAGAACTCCTCTCCCTTGCTTCAGATCCAACTCTTCCAAGCACCCGTTCAACCAGATCATCTCCTTACTTGCTTCAGTCACCGCGACATACTCAGCCTCGGTTGTAGACAAAGTCACAATCTTCTGCAGACGTGAGACCCAACTCACTGCTGTCGATACTAAGGTATAAACATACCCGTGGTGCATACCCGTGGTGCTTCGCCTCGTATCATGATCACCGGCGAAGTCCGCATCTACGTATCCCTGCAACACCAACTCCTTCCTCCTGAAACATAATGGCTTGTTCGTTGTCCCTCTAAAGTACCGCATTATCCACTTCACTGACTTCCAAGGGGTGTGCTAACAACTTTAGCATTCTGCATGTTGAACCTCTGAAGTACCTTCTTAATGTATTCAGCTTGGCTCAATCTCAATATCCCTTCAGCTTCATCCCTACTGATTCGCATCCCTAGAATCTGCTTCGCTGCACCCAGATCCTTCATTGCAAATTCCTTTGCTAGCTGCTTCTTCAAAGTGTTTATCTCCTCTAAACATGGTCTTGCTACCAACATGTCATCAACATATAATAACAAAATAATGAAGCTGGACTCGAACCTTTTAAAATAACAGTAATGATCCGAATTGCATCTTCTGTAGCCATTGTTCTGCATGAAGTTATCAAACTTCTTATACCACTGTCTCGGAGCCTGTTTCAAACCATATAAGCTCTTTTTGAGCTTGCAAACCATCTCTTCCTTTCCTTCTTCAATGAAGCCAACAGGCTGCTTCATGTATATTTCTTCATCCAAGTCACCATGAAGAAAGGCAGTCTTCACATCTAACTGCTCAAGAAAGAGGTCTTCTGCAGCCACCAAACTCAACACTACTCTAATGGTTGTGAGTTTCACAACAGGGGAAAATATCTCTGTGTAGTCCACTCCTTCCCGCTGTTGAAACCTCTTCACTACTAATCTGGCCTTGAATCTCTTGCTTCCATCACTCTCCTGCTTGACCCGGTAGACCCATTTATTGTGCAAGACTTTCTTCTGTGCAGGTAGCTGGGCTAACTCCCATGTCTCATTAGTGAGTAGAGAATCCATCTCCTCCTGCATCGCATGCTCCCACTGCTGAGATTCACTCACTTGCTTTGCCTCTTCATAGCTTTCCGGTTCACCGCTATCTGTCAATAATAAATAGTCAAGAGATGAAAGATATCTGGGATTTGGTTTGGGTACCCTGGATGACCTCCTAAGCTCCACGCCCTGGGTAGTTTCTTCTGCACCTGGAGCCTCCTCCGTTCTACGGTCAGAACAAACATCATCACCCCTATCTGGAAGTTCCTCTATATTCATGTACTTGGATCCACTTGTATCCATAGTGCTGTTCCCACTGCTTTGGCTATCCTTGGCATTGTCCCTGTCCTTGTACATCACCTCCTCATTGAATATCACATCCCGGCTCCTGATGATCTTCCTGTTCTTCTCATCCCAAAGGCGATACCCGAACTCATTAATGTCGTATCCAATGAATGTGCACTTCTGTGACTTAGCTTCTAGCTTGTCCCTGACATGGTCACTGATATGAACATAAGACATGTAACCAAATACCCGCAAGTGTGAAAGATTTATCTTCTTTCCACTCCAAACCTCCTCTAGAATCCCAAAATCTAATGGAACTGATGGCCCGTGATTAATAAGGTATGCTGCCGTATGCACCGCATCCGCCCAAAATGTCTTAGGCAGACCTGCATGTAATCGCATGCTCCGCGCACGCTCTGTCAAGGTCCTGTTCATCCTCTCTACAATGCCGTTCTGCTGCGGCGTCCCTGGAGTAGTCCTCTCTAAGCGAATCACATTCATAGCACAGAACCTCTTGAACTCCTCCAGCTCGTATTCTCCACCATTATCTGATCTCAAGCACTTCACCTTCAGATCTGTCTCGTTCTCGACCATGTTCTTCCACTTCTTGAAGATTTTGAACACCTCTGACTTGTGCTTCATGAAGTAAACCCATACCTTCCTCGAGTGATCGTCGATAAAGGTGGCGTAGTATCTCGAACCGCCAAAAGAAGACACACTGGCTGGACCCCATACATCTGTATGAATCAACTCTAGCTTCTGAGCCTTAGGTGGCCTTCCACCCTTTTGGAAACTAACCATCTTCTGCTTCCCAAAAATGCAGTCTTCACAAACCCCGACTTCCACGGCGTCGATCCTGGTTAGCTTTCCTTGTGAATGTAGGATTTTCATCCCCTTCTCGCTCATGTGTCCCAGCCTATTATGCCACAGATCTGTACTCTCCTTGCCAGCTACAATTGCGAGGGTGTCACTTGCATGTGAAGTGAGGTAGAGAGTTCCCGTTTTATTGCCTCGGGCAACAACCATCGTACCGTTGGAGATTATTCACGAATCCCCGGTGAATGTCGAAACGTAGCCTTCTGCTCCAAGCTGTCCCACCGAAACAAGATTCCTCTTCAGCTTCGGCACGTGTCTCACGTTCTTTAAATTCCACTTAGAGTCCTTTATCTGTATCTGAACGTCGCCCTTTCTAACAATATTGCAAGGTTCATTGTCCCCCAAGTATACTTTACCAAAGTCCTCTACTACATAGTTCCGAAGTAGTTTCCTATTAGCAGTGACGTGGAAAGAAGCTCCTGAGTCGATGACCCAAGAATCAGAATCGCTATCCATAGCAAGGGTCAAGGCATCCTGCACGATATGAGCCTCCTGCTCACCCGCTTCCTTCTTTGGTGCTTTACAGACCGAAGACATATGGCCCTCCTGGCCGCAGTTCCAACACTTTCCTTTGATAGGCCTAACCTTCGAGTTCGACCTCTTCTTTACTGATTTCGACCGATTCCTATTCTGGTTTCCTTTCTTCTGGCTTCTGCCTCTCTGCTCGAAACTTAGAGCTGAACCTGAACCTTCTAATTCAGACGATTTCCTTCTAACCTCCTCGGATAGAATCATGCTAACAACCTCACTCAGCTTTAACTTCTCCTTCCCCGCTGAATTGTTGATTGCCGTCACACAACCTGCCCAATGTAGGCTGTATAAAAATCACAACAGATAGCCAATCCCTATCAAACACCGATGATGAAAGTTACAATCTGACGACTTCTAGAAGGTTACAATTTGAAGACTTTCACGTAGAAGATTATAATCTGACGACCTTCACAACAA